AATAACAAAATATTCATGCCTTTCACCCAGCAATTCCATAAATTTCTCTTTGTTTCTTTAATTCCATCAACTGCTAGGAACTTATCCCATGGAAGTAATAAGTGAGTGATGGAAAGATTAATATGTGAGGATAAATTAATGATAAAATATTTGTGCCCTTTTGACATGTCTTCATCATTCTTTGAGCACTTGTTATTTTTTGACATAGAGAGATGTTTTAAGACTCATCTTGTACATTTCTGCCTAAGCCCTGGAGTTAGCCATTTCTCCAAGGAGTTGGCCATGGTTCCTTTTAGGGGCGAATGATATTTAGAAACTAAGATCTGGATACCCCAAATGCTTATTGCTGCTTCCAAGGCCTTCTCAGTGAACCGAGCTAGGGAGCATATGTATATACACACACCCCACACACATCCCTCTTTACATCTATATTTCTGTATTTACATTTATTGAATTGAGCTTGCACTGATATATCCAGTTCCAGTAAAATACCACATGCTTTGTTCCAGTTTTCTTCCTTTTCTTACTGGTACTTCTTTTCCAAAAGTGAGAAACCTGGTTCCTGTTGTCCTTAATATATTTACTTATTTGTTTGGGCCTCTGTTCTTACTTGTTCAGTTTGTTCCCCACTCCTTGTGCGAATGCCCTACTCACTCTGCTTGGGCTGTAGCTCCCCTCAGTGTACTGCCACTTTCGCTGTCCTGCACTGGGACACCCTCCTCACCCTGTTCAGGCTTCCATTCCGGTTCTGAGGCTTCTCCCCTCCTCCATAGGAATGCCTCCTTACCGCACGAAGGGTCCAGCATCCTGTTTCAGGTTGTCCTCCTATACGTGGATGCTCTCACCTGCTAGGCTCTGACACACTTCTTACTGCGCCACTTCTTTATCGCGATGCCCTCCTTACCTGATTGGGCGCTGATACCTTGCCCCTGCTTGCCTGCTTCACTCCAGTGACATCCTCTTCACCCCATTTGGACATGACCATCCTATCCAACCCACTCTGAAGAAGATACCTATGTTGTTTGGCTTCATCTAATGGTTTTTGTGCTCAGTTTTTCAGTTAGGGGAAGTATGAATAGGAATTAAAAGAAGGCCTGGTGCGGTGCCTTAAATCTGTAATCTCAGCACTTTGCGAGGCCAAGGCAGGAGGATCACTTGAGTCTAGGTGTTGCAAACCAACTGGGACAACATAGTGAGACCCTGTCTCCACAAAAATAAAAATAAATGTTAGCTAGATATGGTAATGGGCACCTGTGGTCCCAGCTACTCCAGAGGCTGAGGTGGGAGGATCACTTCAGCCCAGGAGGTCAAGGCTGCAGTGAGCCATCATCATGCCACTGCACTCTAGACTGGGTGACAGGTCAAAAAGAAAATAAAACCAACAAGAGCCAACAGTTGAATATTGATATTATTTTATTGGTTTTCTTAACCTGGAAAAAGCGTTGCTTATTGGCTGTTAGTGATAGTGAAAAGCCAGGCCCCATTGGTACCAAATCTAAGAAGTATTTTAAAAGTGTAAGAAAAAGGAAAGATATGATTAATACAAATTAAGAAAGGCAAAAGGAATGAGACCGGAATCTAAAAAAGTAGCTGTGGGGTATTGAGAAACAGAATCAGAGTAGTAAAGGAGAAAATGCCTAGCATTCTGAGAAATTTAGTGAAAGGGTGGCCAGATGTTTACTTCATTAATTTCTGAAGATAGCACTGTATTGTACAATAATTAGCATTTAAAATTTTGCACACAGGTCATCATACAAAGAGTATATTATAGTTGTAATGTAGAATAACAAAAGGTTGTGTGTACTTCATACATTCACACAGCAAGACAAGGGAATGTCATTCTTTTTCAATAAGTTTTAAGTCTTCAAGGATTAGCTTTTTTTCTAGAGAATATTAACTCATCTAGAGCTCATCAATCTATCATTCCAATTAAGATGCTGTTATAATTATATATGTGTGAAAATGAAGTTGTCTCCTCCTGTGTTCCCTAATTGCATTTAGTTACCAAGACTGAAAATGTCAACATGATCTTTAATTCATCTTTTTTCCTATGCTGCCCACTTCCAGTCATTTCCTCTTCTCTTGGTTTTAACAATTTAATGACCTGCTGTGTATCTCTTCCTTACATTCTACCACTAGCTGCTTCAAGCTTTCTTTACTTTCTATGTGGGTGTTTGCCTTAGCCTCAGTATAATTGTGTAAATGTTATGGAAATGTCTTCTGCATCTTTTCCTTTGCTTGTCTACAGCACCTCTGCCTTACACAGGTAGTTAAATAAACGGTAGTTACGTTAAATTGAGCTCTAGAAGCTAAATTCAGGAGTACTAGAGAAGGGACTATGGTGAATTTAGTGCCTGCCTCAAAATGCATGTTGAGGGTATTGTTGTCATGCTGAATTGGGGGCCAATCTTTGCCATATCTCTAATTCTTGTAAGAGAAGCTGGAAAATCATATTTTTCTGTGAAATCTTAAAATTTTCTCACCTCGTTTTAAGATACTTCCTCAACAAAAAAGAGATTGACATTGCATTTTAATATATAAAAGACTGAGAAGTTCTACAGTAAACAAATCTGTGGAAAAATCTGGAATCCTTAGTCTGTCGTAAGTGATTCTTTACCATTTGACTCCAGGCTGCCATTCACTAGTGTCAGAAAGAATGTGCTAGATATTTTATTTTTTCATTTGGGCTATTCCCTTAGCCTGGAATTCCCCCATGTTCTTTGTTTGTTTGTTTGTTTTTCGAGATGGAGTCTCGCTGTTGCCCAGGCTGGTGTGCAGTGGCACAATCTCAGCTCACTGCAGCCTCCGCCTCCCAGGTTCAAGCAGCAGTTCTCTCTGCCTCAGCTTCTTGAGTAGCTGGAATTACAGGCACCCGCCATTATGCCCGGCTAATTTTTGTATTTTTAGTAGAGATGGCATTTCGCCATGTTGGCCAGGCTGTTCTTGAACTCCTGACCGCAGATGATCTACCTGCCTCGGCCTCCCAAAGTGCAGAGATTACAGGCGTGAGCCACTAAGCCCGGCCCCCCCGTGTTTTCGACTTCATCCCTTACTCACTTCTTTTCCTGGCTTTCTAGTTTGCATTTCCCTGACAGGTACATTTATGGTATATACCTTTGCCATAAAGTTTTTGTTGTTATGGCAAGATATAACTGTCTTATTTATTTGTTTATGTATTAGACGTGTCTATTTTCATTGAACTGGGACTTCCTTGAGGTCAAGGATCCACACTTAATACTGTACCATATACCTAGCACAGTGCATAGTGGATGTATAGTAGACCCTTCATAATGAGTGATTAACTGAGCTAGTGAATGAAGGCAGGTAGGAACTAAACTGAATGTTATGGAGAAACAGTGGTTTTCTAATTGATCTTCCTATCTCTAGTCACCTTTAGTCTATTCTGTATATATTTTCTAGTGCAAGTTTCCTGTAGGAAATGTTTGTACTTGTTATTCTTTTGGTCAAACAGTATCTACTGATTTCCATTGCCCAAAGAATAAAGTCTGTACTTTGTCTGTGATATTCAAGAGCTTCTATGGTTGAGCCCCACTTCTGCTTTAGAGTTCATCTCCTACCCTTTCTTATTTTGCCTTTCCCTTCTAGCCAAATCTGATCACTCATTTGTGATCAGACCCTTTCGTGACTTTTGTTCAACTCTCACTTCTGATACTGTATTTCCCCACTCGAAGTTATTGCAATCTTAGTATGCTTTAAGGCTCAGCTCAGAGTTCCCTCTTTGTTGGACCATTCCTTAATTCTTCAAATGGAAGAAATGGCTTCTTGCTGTATGATCCTGGTGCATTGCGGCTCCCTTAATTGAACATTAAAATTTATCTCACTGTATAGTTTATGGATACACCTTTTATACCTTCTGCTGGCTGGGACAGGGCTAACTCAGTACTTTGCATGTAGGAGGTATTTAATACATGTTTTTGAAAAAATTAAGTTCTAATATAGGATGTGCATTGATTTTGCTTTGTAAAAAAAATTAAAATTTAAAAACATAATTCAAGTACAGTATATAGAAAATAGTGTGGAAAGATACTGTACCAGGAAGTTAACAATGGAATTGTGGCTATTTTAAAACTTATTTTTTGCTTGTCTGTATTAAAAATATTTATATAATGGGCATATATTGTTTTATAATAGAGAAAAATTGTTCATAATTTAAATTATTACATTTAATAACTTGATCTTTAAGATTTTGTTAGGTAAATGAAACCTCTTCAGCTAGATAAAATGAATAGTAAAATTTGATGAAGTACTATGTAGATCTGGTATTATATATGTATTAACATGCTGCTGAATGCCAAAAATGCTCAGAAATAAAGATAAAAATTGTAATAAGGCTGAGTGCAGTGTCCCACACCTGTAATCCCAGCACTTTGGGAGGCTGAGGCAGGTGGATTGTTTGGGACCAGGAGTTCAAGACCAGCCTGGACAACACGGTGAGACCTTGTCTTTACAAAAGAAAAGGCAGAAGTTAGCTGGGTGTGATGGCATGCACCTGTAGACCCAGCTACGTGGGAGGCTGAGGTGGGAGGATCGGTTGAGCCTAGGAGGTCAAGACTGCCGTGAGTCATGATTGGGGCTCTGTGGTTGATAGAGGGAGACCCTGTCTCAAAAACAAAAAGAAAAAAAAAAAAAAAGAAGGAGACCCTGTCTCAAAAACAAAAAAAAAATCTAAAAAAGAAAAAAGAAAGAATTGTAATAAGATCATTATTTGGACAAAATAGAACTAGCAGAGGTTATAATAGAGTTAAGTGACATAAACTCATAATATACAAAATAGTGATGTGTGATTAATGTGAGTTTGTTTTTCTCATAAGATTGTAAATAGGACAGTTGTGGGGAGTCAAGGGTAAATATTGGTTAATCTCTGTAATGTAATATTTTATGTAAATATGAAGTGTTTTGTTTTTTTTAAGCTCTTAACTCACATTTGAAAACAACATGACATCTAAATAATTTAAAATATTTCTTTTCCTCTCCTTTAGGAATCAAGGAAGGACTGAGGTAAGATTATTTATATGGAAATTTTAGTTAAAACTTGAGACTATCTTACTTTTCATTAAGAATAGTGAAGAAAGAGTGTTTGAATTTTAGAAAACGCCACATCAAGTGCATGACTGATGGTTAGGAATACATAAAGGTATAAATGCCACCCTTGTGTGAATGAATGGACTCTTTTCTAGTTGTTCATTCTCAGCATTTTTCTTCTTTGACCTACATTTCCCCTCTTTTGGTACCATGAAACTGAGTAAAACTTCTGTAATACTGTACTAATACGTTAGGTTAGTATTATTTCAGTGCAACAAAGGCATTTGATACGGAGTTTTTGAGGACTTTAGATTCTGACCCATTGAGTACAGTTTGTGATTTACAGTACTTATCACATAGTAGAGAGATATTTAATAAATACTTTATGATCTTCCTACATGCTTGGGAGATGAGTAATTTTGTTTATAAGTCTGTTTAGTGTAAAATGTGATGTTCTTTTGGGGAGATCTGATATCTGATACAAAGCATTTTGAAAGAACACCTAGTATGTCTTTTTATTCTAAACCTTATTATTGAGCTATCCTTGTAACTGTTGAGTTGTATTTGTCAAAACATTCAAAAATAATACCATGTACTCATATAGTTGTCATTAAGACCTACGAAATAAATACATCCTCTGTTTATGGGAGTGTTTAAGCTTTTCGGAGTAAATAGTTCACACCCCCACATCTTAAGTACAATTGCTTTCTTAATATTCTTAAAATATTCGCTTATTCAGCAATATTATTTTCTTCTATAAGCCAGGCACTCTGCTAGATCTTAAGGATATAAAATATAGTAAGACATGATCCCTTGACCTCAGACCTCAGAGATTTTTAGGAAAAAAGAAAAAAGATGATTTTTTTTTTTTTTTTTTTTTTGAGATGGAGTCTCATTCTGTCATGCCTGGCTAATTTTTGTATTTTTAGTAGAGACAGGGTTTTGCCATGTTGGCCAGGCTGGTCTCAATCTCTTTGATCCTTCTTATGATCCGCCCTCCCACTAAAAAAATCTTTTTTTTTTTTTTTTTTTGAGAGGTCTCGCTCTGTCGCCAGGCTGGACAGGGCCGGATCCAGCTCCCAAGCCTCCTCCCGTTCCGCCCATTCTCGCCTCAGCCTCCGGCTGGACTACAGGCCCCCCCCGCCCGGCTTTTTTGATAGTAGGCGGGGTCACCGTGAGCCAGGATGGTCGATCTCCTGACCTCGGATACCGTGCGGCCTCCCAAAGTGCTGGGATTACAGGCTTGAGCCACCGCGCCCGGCGAAAAAAAATAATCTTACCCCTGTTTTGGAAAGAGTTCTTCAGCCACAGACTAGAGAAAACATGAAAACTGTCTTTTTTTATGATGGTAGATTAGCCCCATTGTTCTTTTTGTTTTTGTTTTTTATTTTCTTACTAGTTGTAGTAATTTTTATTTTATTTTGGGGGTACATGTGTAGGTTTGTTACATAGGTATGTTGCATGATGCTGAGATTTGGGCTGATATTTATCCTGTCACCCAGATAGTGAACATGGTAACCAATAGGTAGTTTTTTAACTCTTGGTCTCTTCTCTCTTTTTGGAGTCCCTAATGTCTATTGTTCCCATCTTTAGGTCCATGTCTACCCAATGTTTAGCTCCCACTTGTAAGTGAGAACATGTGGTATTTGGCTTTCTGTTTCTGCACTAATTCACATAGGATAATGGCTTCCAGCTGCATCATTGCTGCAAAGGATGTGATTTTGTTATTTTTTTATTAGCCCCATTATTCTGACAAACGGGAATAGATTGTCTTTCTCTCTTTTGATTTTTTTAAGAGACAGGGTTTTGCTGTGTTGCCAAGGTTGGAGTGCAATGGCTTTTCATAGTGAACTACAGCCTGGAACTCCTGGCCCAAGGAATCTTCTTACCTCAGCCTCCCAAGTAGCAGGGATTATAGGTGTGCACCAGTGTGTCCAGTTTACATTCTCTTTTTGTGAGCAAGTATTAAGGAGTTTTTAATAAAGTTAAAGTGTTTAATGAAATGACTGGAAAACACATTTAAAAACAATCTGATTTATAACTAAAATTTTTTTATATGTAGTTTGAATACAAAAGTCTGTTATAATCTCTGGTTAATGTGTCTATTAGGTGTCATTTACTTTGAATGAGGACCTTGCAAATATTCATGATATTGGTGGAAAACCGGCTTCAGTCAGTGCTCCTAGAGAACACCCATTTGTCTTGCAAAGTGTCGGAGGACAGACATTAACAGTGTTTACTGAGAGCTCATCAGGTAAGTGGGAATGGAATTATTTAATGTGATTCCTGTACTTGTTGTATAGATTTTCTGTCTCAACATACACTCCTGTTTGCTTTTTTTTTTTTTTGCGATGGCGTTTCGCTCTCGTTGCCCAGGCTGGAGTGCAGTGGCACAATCTCAGCTCACTGCAACCTCCACCTCCCAGGTTCAAGCGATTCTCCTGCCTCGGCCCCCCAAGTAGCTGGGATTGCAGGCATGCACCACCATGCCCGACTAATTTTGTATTTTTGGTAGAGACGAGGTTTCTCCATGTTGGTCAGGCTGGTCTCAAACTCCTGACCTCAGGTGATCCGCCTGCCTCTGCCTCCCAAAGTGCTGGGATTACAGGCGTGGGCCACCGCACCCGGCCTCCTGTTTGCTTTTTTAAGGTCATTACCAAGACTGTTCCATCTCTCATTTTGTGTACCTCTGTTATTCATACTATGCTACTTCTCTGCTCTGTGTACTTTCTTGTGATTAATGAAATTTTGGCCATTACTTGAGAAGGGTTTAATTTCTATTTGGGATATGAAGATATAGAACAAAGCAGATGGAAGAATGTGGTTCATCAAGCTGCCTTCTCAGATGTTGAAGAAACAGTATTCTGAATTTTGCCAAGATAAGGTCATCGTTGCTTGTTTTAGTAAATTGATATTTAGCAAGTATAAGTTGTACTTTAAAAATACAGCTCGATATTAGGGAATATTTTAGTCTGAATTTTTCATCTTGTATGCTTTGTATACCAAGGGGACCTTTTTATTGCACAGAGATAACTTTTAATTGATATTGGCTTCTAAGAAGTTTCTGTGTAGAGTTTTAAGATTGTGTGTGTTTGCAATGAGATATTTTAACAGTTCAATAAATCAGAAGCAAATGTTTCCATTTGTGAATTAAATACAGAAGGAACTTTCTTGTGGCACACACTCAGCATGAGTATATTTTCCATGTTTTGGGATTTTTATCTTTCACTGAGTTTAGAATACTATTAAAGCAACAGGCCACCTTAGTTTAATGGAGCTAATTTTCTGCTATCTGGTTCAAAAAGCTTATTGATAAAAGAAAACATTTGTGATTTTGTTGTATTTCATCAAACATTGCAAAGGAAGCTATAAGAAATTATAGTATGTTAAGAACACCATTGGTTAAAAAAAGGTACATCCTCATAAGTTTTTTTTGTGGTGTCTTCAATTACCAATAGCTACATAAAATGATCTAAAAATTATTCTTTTTTTCTTGGGTGTACAGTATAACAAAATGGTAAATTATAATTCTTCAGTTATGTAGTTGAAGGTAGAAGGTTGGTTTCACTGCAGTTTTCTGATGCTCTAATAATTAATAGTGTAGTAGTATGGGAGGCAGAAAAGTAACAGTTTCTTCAATACATCCATTTTATACTGGAGAAGATTCAACCTTTCAACAAATATTTATTGCATGCTGCATAGTTCAGGGCATAGTATAGACCTATCTAAAAATCTGAAATTTGTCTGAAATTAAAAGCGCATTTGAATTCAGTATGTTAAAGAGTTTTAGTTTTGGCGGGGCGCGGTGGCTCGTGCCTGTAATCCCAGCACTTCAGGAGGCCGAAGTGGGCAGATCACCTAAGGCCGGGAGTCCGAGACCAGCTGGGCCAACATGGTGAAACCCTGTCTCTATTAAATAAAAAATTGGCCAGGCGTGGTGGCGGGTGCCTGTAATCCCAGCTACTCAGGAAGCTGAGGCAGGAGAATCGCTTGAACCCAGGAGGTGGAAGTAGAAGTGAGCCGAGATTGCACCACCGTACTCCAACCTGGGTGATGGAGGGAGACTCAATCTCAAAAAAAAAAAAAAAAAAGAGTTAAGGAGTTTTAGTTTCAACAACTCTATTCCTTTTGATTGATGAGATTTAATAAGATCCATTGAACCTGTAAGGTTTTCTCTACTTTTGTGATTGTCCTAGAGTGGAAGAGGCATGGCACCAAGATAGTAAAAAGGAGACATCGCCTTGATAAAAGTTTGAGGTAGGGAAACTTGAACTTTTTTTTGTAGAAAAAAGTACCCTATTACAGATTTTTTACATCTTATTAAGTGACTAATTTTTTGAAAACATGATTTATTTCTGGTGCTTCTACAAAGACAGTGATTTAGAAAGCTAACATTTGTTAGCCTCAAAATTAGTCTTCCATTTTACATTTTAAAAATACTTTAGTGTTGTGCTCTTTTTGAACATTTCGTGTTCACATTTCTGGCTACAGTGTACTCTGAAGGGAACGTGGTTTTATGAGGATTATCTTGGCAGGGATATGGAAAAGAATTAAGATTGTCATCCTTATTCTGGGGCTTGGACGGTATGTTCTTGCTTTGCACAACTGTGATAATACAAATGCAGTTCTAAGTTGCTATTAGTTATAATACACTATAACAATATTTTACTTCTTAACCTCATTATTTCTGTTTCAAGTCATTGTTCCTTGATTCTCTTTGCACCTTTCTGTGCCTTAATTTTCTCATTTATGAAATGAGGATAATTTGTTGACATATAAAAATATGAATACATTTAAACACTTAGAACAATGCTCAGTATATAATGAATGCTCAAATATTAGCTGCTGTTGTTAATATTACACCTTGTTTTTAAACACTTTAGGTTTCAAGTTTAAGGCAAGTGCATGCATTTTAGCTCAATCTGGATGTATATCACTTGATAAAATTCAGCCAGTAGGGATTTTTATATTAAATGTTTCTCAATTGCCTGCATGACCAAGAAAAAAGCTCTAGAATTGTGAGTAGTTTATCTCCTCTGAGGAGTCTTATGTATTTGCTGTTTCTAGTCATTAAAGCAGCAGTTATACAAGTGGGTTCCTTGTATCTCTTGGAAGTCATAAATAGTACAATGGGCTCTGTGACTGCTGCGACATATTTAAAATGTTAGATGTATGTTGTATATGTGCATTCTTTTCTATAGGATGGTTCCAGCGCTTTCACTGGCATCTCAGAGGAATCTGTGGCTCAGAAAAGCTACAGAACCACTATCCTAGTTTTAACCTTAGTTGGTCATGAACCTGCCAAAGTATAAGTGACTAAGCCATTTTATAGAGAGTAAGCTGTTGATTTTACATTGAAATATAAATGAGGTAGGCATTATCTGGAATATTTCTACATTTTCTATCAAGCATAGAACCATACTTGCTTTTCTAGGCTCTTCATTTCTTTTTATTAGTGCACAGGTCTATAAAATGTAGAGTTTGTAAGGAAGCTTGAAATCACATTTTAGTTCACTATGTTAGGAGTTTTAGTTTTAATAACTTTATTCCTGTTAATGTGATTTTGCTAGTTTTTGAGAGGCCTCCTTTGAGCCTATTTTCCTAATGATAGAATTTGGCACATTTGGGTCTTCTAGGGAGAGGGAATTAGAGGGGACTAATGATAAGTTATACAGTATTTTCTCTTCAATTAAAATAATCTGCGTGTCATCAACATTTTATGAACTCAATTAATGTATTTCTAATTCAGTGTTCCTGTCTGAAAGAATATATTTTATTTTTATAGGCTATTTTGGGTTACCCCTTCTTCCACTTCTGCTTTCCTCTATGAAAGTCGAAATGATCTATTAATATTTCTCTGTTATTTTCATGGAGCTCTCTTATCCATTACCCTTATCTCTGTGGAAATACCTCATGTGTTTGGCCTTGCATTTCCCCGCCTTGGGTCTTCAGTTTAGTATTTTCATCTACTATTTATTGATAACTATAGATAATTTCTATTTTTTCTGCCTTTGGCATCCTCCTTGGCATTCCTACTTTTATTCAAAGTTAGATTTTCTTGTTTTTTTTTAGAGGCGGTGTCTCACTCTGTTGCCCAGGCTGAACTTCTGGGCCCAAGTGATCCTCCCACCTCAGCCTCCTGAGTAGCTGGGACTACAGGCGTGCACCACCATGTCTGGCTCTTAGATATTATTATTTATAACTGCCAATTCTAGACAAAAATGTTCATTCATCTGTTCAATAGATATTTTTGGTGCTAAGCCCTGTGCTAGAATAAGATTAGCCTCCTGTGCACTGAGGCAACTGGTATGTGAATACAAGTGCTCCAATGGAGTTATGCACAAAGAGGAAAAAAAGCATGTGTACTTTGCCTGAGGGAACTGGCTTCAGAAGTAGAGATAATATTTGAGCTGGACCTTGAAGTATATGAATAGGACGAAAGATAGTAAAGATAAATTCATTTTTCTAGCCTTCAAGGATCCAGTTCTTCACTTGGCATTCTTTTGCCTGTCATCCTCTGTCATAGCTATCTAAAAAATCATTAAATAAAAATTCTTTAAAGCAAAAAACTTGGTTATGGATGTCATAGTCTAGGTTAGAGATGAAAAAAGTTTGAATTGGTGCAATGGGAGTGGAAAAGATGGATCATATTCCAGGGATAATAGAGGTAATTTTTTTTTTTAAATCTTTTTTGCCATCAGATAAGTCGACCAGAATTAGAGGTTATTTTGACAGCTTTTGGTGATGAATCAGCTGTGAGGGAATTGGAAGACTGAGAAGCCTAGAATGGTTTCTAGGCTTTTTTGGCTCTAGGCTTTTTTTGGCTTGAGCATCTGGAGGGATAGTGAAACCATTACTGAGTTAGAAAATATTGAAAGAAATGGGCAGGGTTAGAGCTGATAACGCAGTGACTTTTTTGCTTTCATTTTTCATTGTCTTTGACGCCTTTGTAGGAGTTATTTAATTCAATAAGTTAATATATGTGCCTGCTTTTTTCAGGCCCCCTTTTAGGCTTGGGATACTTTAACCAGCAAAGGCTCAGCCCTTGTGGTGCTTACATTTTACTAAGCGGAGACAACAATAAACATAAGTAAATTATATTGCTGGCTAGAAGTTGATAAATTTTCTGGGAATAAAGTGGGAAGTAGGCTCAGGAGTATCAGATTGAGGGTAGGACCTACAATTTAAAATAGTGCAATCGGGGTGGGACCTCATTGAGAAGGTGAAATTTGAACAGTCTTGAAGGAGGCGAAA